GAGAGAGAGAGAGAGAGAGAGAGAGAGAGAGATTGTGGTAATATTTAGCTTTTAAAAACTTATTTTAATTGTTTCTCAATGTCTTTGCCGGCCGTCCAGAGTGTCCAACAGCTGTACAATACGATAGAGTGGTTGTCATCGAAAGGGGCGTCGGTTTTGCTCTCGTATGAGGACAGGGAAGACAAACAGCCACTGATTGACCAGTTTTTTGCTGTAAGTGTTTTTATTGTGTACTCAAATCAATGAACAGTAAATTGTGTGTAAATTATTAATTAGATGTTGTATTTATTTAAACAGTTAATCGCCGATAAATTCACCGCAACTGAGATTGAAAGCCATGATTTACATCCCGATTATCGGTCACCGGATTTGCATTTATTTGTGTTGAAACAAATTGTTTAACGATTACTATATTAAGTTTTAGGCACTAATTGTAATATAAATTAATTTTTATTTTTTATGAATTTTATAGCAATTTTATTTTTTAAAAATTACTAAATTTTTTCATTACATACTGTACTTATAAAAATTAATAAATACCGGTATTATTAAATAATAACAAGGTAGTTTAGAAGTATAAGCAAGTGTAAAAAATTATCAAAACATAACTATTTGTTAGTCAAGTTGAGTAAAATTTTATCTAACTGCATCAAAACATAAATATTCTATTAAATACTATTAAATGGTAAAATTAGAAAAAACCGTTACCTACCATATAAATTGTATAATTTCACATTTTTAACTAGTAAATATTGTGGTTTATTATAAAGTTACAGTTTATAAATAATTAATGTTTTCATTTAAAAACTTGTTTCGGTGCATAACCTTATTGCCGTTAGGGAAATAAATAAAAGCAATTTTATAGCATGTTGAAACATTTAAAACTATATTCACAAACAAATCAACAACACAAAAAACAGAATATTCTGTAAATCAATCGATAACCTATTGGGCGCAGAATCCGTCACATTATATATCAGATACTGTATTTAAACCAGAATTATACACATCAAACATTTGGTCGCTTACTCTCTCATACACTCTCTAAGATAGTGTTATCAACAACAAAAAAACTTTTTGTTTGTGTAGTATATTGTATGAAATATTAATTGCAATTGTTTTTTCATCTGTGTTTAAATCTCATTATTAATTGAGTAATGAAATGAATGCCTCGACTAAACCAATGGATTATTGCGATGGCAATAGTGTTCAGCAATTTATAGGCGATGTGAATAATTTAAGCGGAGCTGAACTTGTATTGTCTCTATACCAGTACTTTTGTCCCATTTTGCTAACAGGTATTTCCGTGAGAGAGTAAGCGACCAAATGTTTGATGTGTATAATTCTGGTTTAAATACAGTATCTGATATATAATGTGACGGATTCTGCGCCCAATAGGTTATCGATATATACTACACAAACAAAAAGTTTTTTTGTTGTTGATAACACTATCTTAGAGAGTGTATGAGAGAGAGAGAGAGAGAGAGAGAAAATCACTTAATTGCAAAACATGCTATATTTGTCAACCAATATCATTTAATTACTGCACATTTCTATACCCATAGGTTGCTTAATAGGTGTGATATTAAACACAATTCTGTTAATCGTAAGTAACCTCCGGTGTCGTAACAAATCGCCAATATTCCGACTGTCGCTACATTTGGCCACTACGGACGCGGCCAACAGTGCCATTGTGGGCACCGGGCTATTCATCAACTCATATCTGCCCCGTGTGTTCAATGTGACCATCGGTAACACCTGTTCACTACTGGTGCTCGAGATCTTCCGGTTGTCATCGCTGGTCGCCTCAGCCCTTCACCTCCTGGCCATGGCTTTAGTCTATTACAGGGGAACCACTAATCCATTGCATTACAGGTGCCGTATCTGTTAATCATGATGTTTGTTGCGATGGTTTTTAACTAGATTTAATACTAATATTTTTTTAATTAATTTTAAATATTGTTTAGGTTTACAATATTCTCGTCTAAACATTTGAAACGAAACATATGTATTGTTTCAATGCTTTGTTGGACACTACCTATAATTATATTTACCACGTATTTCTCGAGCATTAGTTGCCAGGGTAAGTTTATAATACAATTAACGAGCTATTTTTCTGTGTTTGTCTAAAACAGGGACATTTAAATAAATACACATTATAATTGTTGAACAAGAATATTATTTAAGTACATACATATGCAAACATAAGTACATTAGTACATAAGTACAAATACATGATAATATTGGTTATAGTTGATTAATTAATTAGATTATTTTTATTTTTGTTTGAATTACCGACTCTTTTAAGTGGAAAAATTTATTCAATTTTACATAATTTACATTTTAATGGGTATTTATATTGACAAAACTCTATGACATTTACTGTCATTATTGACACAAATATACAAACAGAATATTCCGTATAAAAAATGGCATAAAATTTTTGTTCAAAGAGTTACAAAAATACAATAATACAAAAGTTACAGCATTTAAATTAAATTCCGGTTTTATTGATCACTATTTAAACGGAATAATGCTTTCACTATAGAGTACTGCAAAAATACTAAATCGCAAATCAATATTATTTTTAGATTTATTGTAATAACGGTAAAATTATGTAAATTGTACTAGTATATAAAAAATTACCATAACTTTCAATGCAATATCAAATCATTTTTGAAATTAGAAATTATTCTTATTTATATGACTATAACAAAATATTACCTACTTTTATGCCTTTAAGCTCATTTGACGCTTTAATTTATCCACATTTAATAAAAGTTATATAATGCATGAAAAAATTATATTAAATACATTAAATATCATATTTATTGTGGATAACAAGAATATTCTGTTGCGTTAAGAATTTCTGGAATTTAGTTCCATGTAAATTTTTAATACATTCTTGAAAACTGATTTTATGCACCGGTAATTACATTAACGATATAACACGTTAATATAAATCTACTGTATATATTACAGCCCACTTTTTATGTAGCGTCACTAAGTTCCATGTAAATTTTTAATACATTCTTGAAAACTGATTTTATGCACCGGTAATTACATTAACGATATAACACGTTAATATAAATCTACTGTATATATTACAGCCCACTTTTTATGTAGCGTCACTACACTATCTACATATTATAATATAATCTGATTTTACACCTTTCTTATTGAATATACATTTTGTTATATTGCATTATTTATAGTTGTCTTTAACACAATAAAATAAGATATTCTTAGGAATATTCTGTGGAAAATACTGTAATATATTTGAATGTAGTATATATTAGGTTAAGTGTCAATATGATACAGAATTTTCCACAGAATATTCTTAAGAATGTGTTATAATATTATGTTATAAACGGCTATAAATATACCGTATGTTTGATAAGAAAGGCGTTTATCTGACATTTGTCTTAAAGAATTTCTGTTAATAACACTAAATAAGTGTAAGTTTTTGCTATTATTTAAGTATTTGACTGACGAAACCATTTTCAACAGAAAAAGCATGACATTTGCTTTGCGATTGACGTAAAACTTTTAGCAAAATTAAATGTATTTAAATGGAAATAATATACAATTTACTTTTCTCTCCAAAGTATTGACTGTGTTATACGATAAAAAGTTATTAAATAACTTATTATGGGCTTAAATGTGGGCTTAAATTATTGATACACTGGGAAAATGCAGTTTAAATACTTTTTAATTCTTTCAATATGTAATAATGCATGACTTATATCTTGTGCTAAACTAGAGATGAGATTCTTCGGGAATTTAAACATAAAATTATTTAATAGAATATTCAAGAATAACATGCATTTAGTTTTGGACGTTATACTAAAGTATTCCCGAATTTGACTGTTTTGTTCCCTATTCCCGACCCAATTTTATAGGTTTTATTCCTTAAAAATCTCATCCCTGGCGATAACTTATAATATAAAATTCTCTTTGATATTTATAAAAAGTACAGTATATAGTGTTTGATACTATTATAACTTTTATCTATTAATGTTACGAAAAAAAAATTGCGAAATAGTCTTAAAACAGATTATATTCCAAAAGATATAATCTGTTTTAAGACTATTTCGCAATTTTTTTTAACAATAATAAATTTCCAAAAAGAAACAAATAATCCCTAAATAATAGACTATTATTAATAGTATACTTTATGATATACACATCATATTGTATTTATTGTATCTTAAATTGTATGGATAACTTAAATTATTTTTATAAAAAAATCACAAATTTTTTAAAAACAATTTCGTTTAAACAACTAATCAATTATTAATAATCAAATTCTTTCCCAGGCTTTCAATCGGCCGACTGTGACATCGCATTCATGCTATCATTCAGATTCCGTACGACAATTACCATCATCTTCTTGGCGCCACTTGTGGTGATGTTTGTCTTGTACGCCAAGATCTTCGCCATCATTAGATCCAGAGAGACGTCGATTCGCATTGACATCAAATCGGATGTCGTGCTAACCATTGTCGACGACAGGGACGACAACAACCCCGAAGACAGCGACCGGACAATCAATAAGACAGTGAAAGTGGATCTATTGAACGGCAAGAATCGCGTATCCATGAGAACATCACATACCCGGCCGCCCAACCAGTCATCCTATCCTAAAAAGGCTGTCATCACAACACTTAGCATATTAGGCAAGAATTAATTACCATAATCCTATAACACTATTTAATTCATGGATTAATTATTATAAAACTATTACGAAATATTTTGCAATTTATTATTGTTATCTAATATTTAATTTACACATACCATACATATATAGGCACTTATGTGATCTGTTGGATGCCAGCGGTGGCCTATTTGGGCCTAACATGTATGGACGGGTGTCCGTACCCGCTGCTTACCCTACCGTATAGCACCAGGGTGATTATAGGATTTGTGACAAACGCGTTCATTATCATCAAAGCCATCGTTGATCCGTTTATTTACTCGTTTCGCATGAATGAAATCAACACTATTTTCAATAGGAGTAGTGTTTTGTTTAATCGCAGGTCTCTGTTGAAGGGCAGGCACTCTGGCAAAGGCTTTTAAATCTTGGTGTTTATTGTATTGAGAGAGAGAGAGAGAGAGAGAGAGAGAGAGAGAGAATTTGTTTCATTAAGTTTTATATCCCTTTCCCTCCCGACAGCCCTTTCCTCTCTAATGCTAAGAATTTAATTTTACGTCTTTCTCTCTCTCTCTCTCTCTCTCTCTCGGAAATACCTGTTAGCAAAATGGGACAGAAGTACTGGTATAGAGACACTACAAGTTCAGCTCCGCTTAAATTATTAACATCGCCTATAAATTGTTGAACACTATTGCCATCGCAATAATCCATTGGTTTAGTCGAGGCATTCATTTCATTACTCAATTAATAATGAGATTTAGACACAAATGAAAAAAACAATTGCAATTAATATTTCATACAATATACTTCACAAACAAAAAAGTTTTTTGTTAACACTATCTTAGAGAGTATATGAGAGAGTAAGCGACAAATGTTTGATGTGTATAATTCTGGTTTAAATACAGTATATCTGATGTATAATGTGGCGGATTCTGCGCCCAATAGGTTATCGATTAATTTACAGAATATTCTGTTTTTTATGTTTTGTTGATTTGTTTGTGAATATAGTTTTAAATGTTTCAACATGCTATAAAATTGCTTTTATTTATTTCCCTAACGGCAATAAGGTTATGCACCGAAACAAGTTTTAAATGAAAACATTAATTATTTATAAACTGTAACTTTATAATAAACTACAATGTTTACTAGTTAAAAATGTGAAGTTATTGAAATTGTATGGAGAATAGGTGAAGGTTTTTTTTTAAATTTTACCGTTATTGGTATTTGATAGAATATTTATGTTTTAATGCAGTTAGATAAAATTTTACTCAACTTGACTTTAACAAATAGTTATATGGTATTTTGATAATTCTTTATACTTACTTATACTTCTAAACTACATTGTTATTATTTGATAATACGGGTATTTATTGATTTTTATAAGTATGTAATAAAAACATTTAATAATTTTTTAAAATTCAATTGCTATAAAATTCATAAAAAATAAAAATTAATTTATATTACAATTAGTGCCTAAAACTTAATACAGTAATCGTTAAACAGTTTGTTTCAACACAAATAAATGCAAATCCGGTGACCGATAATCGGGGTGTAAATCATGGCTTTGAATCTCAGTTGCGGTGAACTTATCGGCGATTAACTGTTTAAATGAATACAACATTAAATGAATAATTTACACACAATTTACTGTTCATTGATTTGAGTACACAATCGGACGGCACTTACGGTAAAAAACTGGTCAATCAGTGGCTGTTTGTCTTCCCTGTCCTCATACGAGAGCAAAACCGACGCCCCTTTTGATGACAACCACTCTATCGTATTGTACAGCTGTTGGACACTCTGGACGGCCGGCAAAGACATTGAGAAACAATTAAAATAAGTTTTTAAAGCTAAAAATTACTACAATCTCTCTCTCTCTCTCTCTCTCTCTCTCTCTCTCTGACTGTCACTCGCAATACCTGTTCATAATAGAGACAATCGGAGACCAGTATATAATCGATGGCATCGATGGGTACTGTGAAAAAACGCTGATCCGTACCATTGGTTTGACACCAATCAAACTCCGCGACCACAACCTTATCGGCGACCAAATGCCGATTGAGGGCCACATTCCTGGCCATCAGTGGCACACAATCTGGCAAATCGGTGATCAGTACCCGTCTCGAGCCGAGAGCGGCCGCGTAAATGCCGCAAAAACCGGTGCCGGCGCCCAACTCCACCACCACTGACCGGTAGAGCAGCAGCTGATCCCGTTTGATGTCCATGTATTTGGCCAGAAGTAGGGCCGCGTCCCACACAACACAC